CAAAAAAACGTGGTATATCAACTACTAAGAGTAGTAAACCCTGTCTGGTGCTTCAACTCCAGCTCCTGCAAGATGAGAATTATTGTAAAATAGTTAACTGGTATATTAGAATACTGGTTAACTTGGAGAAAAGTGTCGATGAGAGGGAGAATAATACACTATTATTTCCCTAATTATTACTGTGATATTTGTTTGTATTATTGATTCAATTGTCTTTCAGTTCTTTCTTATATTTTTATTGTGTTTATTCAATTCAACCGTCTTTATTACATGTTTATCTCGAAGAGAACTAGCACAAATAATGATAGCAGACGCCATTTCAAATGCTATTCTCTTATTAGCCAATCATAGGTCATAGCACTATGAACCAATCAGCACCAAACCCGCTAAAATTTGTTACGGTGGCTGATCCTACCGAGCCTATAAAAGGCTTGAATACTTGTTTTAGCGCGCGCGAGTACATGTAACCTTTTCAGTGACGAGTTAATAAAAGCAGTTTCTTGATATCGTTTATTTGTTTCCTGTTCCTTTGATCGACCGTCCCTTGTTTTACGCGCCTTGAACTTTACGCTCGTTAGGGTTGAGATAAATGTGAAACCCTATTCTCAATTCCCCCCACATTTATGGTGCAAGAGACCAGGATTGAAACCGTGAAGTTATGGTGCCCAAACCGTCGATCACCGAGCTTACGAACAAGAGAAACAAGGAGAGAGCTTTCCTACTGAGGGTTTTACAGCCACTCGAAACTGCCATCAATAGTTTCGACCTCAAGGAAGACAATGATGCAGCCCGAAGAGCAATCACCGTCAAGAAGACATACCTGAGAAGGCAACTCGATCTACTCCTTGCAGCGAACCGAAAGCTAATTGACATCCTTGACGCCAAAGACGATATCGTCATTGAAACACTGGATTACGAACAGCACATCTCCGACCGATGCGAGACCGTCCTGCAATTTATTGAAGATCTACAGACAGCCCACCGAAAGCCGCTGATTCATGTACACGACTCGCCAGTCACCGCATCAACTCGACACCGATCGGTGCAGCTTCCGAAGTTGGAAATTACCCCATTCCAAGGAGATCCGCTACGATGGACAGAGTTTCACGATACCTTCAGATCCGCAGTTCATGATGACGGACAATTATCAAACGTACAAAAGCTCACATATTTGAGGAGCTTTCTTACCGGCGAAGCCAAACGGACAATCGAAGGGCTTCAGACTACGGACGCCAATTACCTTGCTGCCTTGGATTTATTAACAAACCGCTATGGTCAACGACAGACGATCATTAATTCGCACACGAGATCATTCTGGGAATTATCACCGCCTTCGCATACACCAGCCAGCCTCCGCCTATTTCATGACGAGATTGAAACCACGATACGAGGACTGACTGCGCTTGGGGAAAATCAGGACAATTACGGTAATCTACTCGTCCCCATGATTATGAACAAATTACCCATCCCAATCCAACAGCAACTTGCGAGAAATCACGAGGAAAAAACGTGGAAACTGAGCGAATTGAGCCAAGCACTGTGTCGCGAGGTAAGAGTTTTATCAGTGGGAAAAAACTTGAACCACGGAGCCGAGTCGCCCAATTCTTCGATCGCTGCGTTCTACACGCAAACAGCCCATCAGAGGGGTAGAGCTTTGCAAGACACCGCAACCACCCGCCAAATCGATGGAAACAATGTCGCCAACTCACGTAACAATCGCGATAGAAGACCGCGCCCACCTCGGAGAAGGTGTATTTATTGCGACGAGCAACACAACCCGTCTACCTGCACTTCAGTGACACACGGTACGAGGTTTTACCCAGAATTCAACACGTTCTGTACCAACGCATATTGCTATGCGCAGAACTGAAATTCTGGCATCGTTCTGCGCAAAAACAGTTTTTAGCTTGTGAGTTGTTTCCGGGTTCGCCTTCCATGTGCTTATTGTGCGATTTATTGTACCAATATCACATTTTCTGGACGTATTCCTACACAATCATGCCAAGAGCATCCAAAAGAGTCAAGCAGGCAAGTTTAGCCGCAAAATTACATGGGAAATTGGCTTCAACTGCTCACTCGATCGCCGATGTTGTCCATCGGCACACAAGGTCGTTCGCTTTCTGATCTTTCTTCCAAGATTTTGA